GCTTAACAGAAACCTTCCTTGCCTTATACTCCGAAGCAACACCTATTGGAATCAATCCCTCAGTCTCCAACTCTACCTTCTTGGTCAGCCTTCATAGGGGAATCATCGGAGTAACCTTCCTCTTCCTTAGGTCCTTCTTTGCTTTCATCACAGACCACATCCTTTTCCTAGTGCCAAACATTCTGCAATTACAGAATAAACTTGACATCAGTACTTTCTAAACGAACCGTAAAGGAATACGATGAATCCTAAACTTAAGCTCTATTCTAGAGAAAACGTTACGCGGAAGTCTTAATATGAAACATCCTTAAGACACTTGAACCTGGAGTGCTCTGATACTAACTGTGATACCCCTCGGATCCAAAACACGGGTTAATCAAGCCAGGACCAAACCCGAGGGAAATATCAAACAGTTAAAGTATTTTAAAGCGAACACAGAGTATTAAATGAAAATCAGAAATAGAATAAAGCTAACAGAAATATCCAAAATCAAATCTTCCAAACTATCATGAATAAAATGAATCCAAATCTCCAAAACCTTTAAAAGTACAACTCGGGAATCCATCTAGTGGACCCCTACAAATCCCAACTGAACTTAAATTACTGAAAGTAAATTAATTTAAAACATCGAGAGAAGTCCTACGTAATTTGATAAATGAGAAACTGTCCTCGAACAGCACGACCAAGCTCTAAGGCTGGAACCGTCCTATACCTGAAAAGAATAAAAGAGTGGGTCAGGCCCACGAACAAGTTCTAATCTAACTGCAATCCATACAGTGACCTGATACGCAGATACAACCTAGATATCTCACAATATTTATTTGGTTCATACATATTTATATCCACACTAAGGGACATTCACTGGACAATAATAGGGGTCTCAACCTGAATAGAAGGCAACATGCGAAAACGCACCCAAAGGTGGGCATAAGTACCTAAACCTAACAGGGTACACCTACCTACTATATCCAGCTACGCATCCACTGCATATACGCACCCTTACTAATGAGCCTGAGAATCAAGCTTATCTCATGGTACCATAATCATATATCTAAAGTCCGTCCGAAACCAGAGTATGTCATTCAATTATTTATTGAGGTGACATACAAAACACAGTCCAGATAGTCACTCAACTTATTCAGCTGATATGACTTAACTACAACCAACTAATCCAGGAAGTCATTCAACTTAGCCAGTTGATCTGACTTAAACACAATTTAGGATTCAATATTTTACAATCCATTCATTTCATCCAGTAGGTTAGGTCTTAGCGTTTTGAGCTAAATCGTCCCTTGTATGCCACCATCCCATACCGGTGCATACAATCCTCTACATCCATGCAAATTACAATATATAAATAATGGTTTAGTAATTTACAGTCCAAAACATCATCCAAATAATTGCAGGAAGATATTTGATATTCTAGTAATTGAAATCCAAACGATAATCCATATAATTGCAGAAAGGATTTAATATTTCAACAATTAGCCTCCAAAGCATGTATAGATCAACTTCAATACATCAATGACCCTATAATGCATTTAGAACAATTTTATAAACATATTAGATCCCACTGGAATGCCAAAAATAATCTTAAGCAATTAAGTCTTCATCCATCTATTAACCGTATACAATGGGCATAAGTTTTATATGGTTTGTTTTGTTAATTTAGAGGTAAAATTTAATCAATTAAAAGTCCTATAAACACCCAAAATTAACTTCTTAATCACTCTAGAAAGTCCCAGAATTTTTCAAAACAGTTCAGACACTCAACAGCTCCAAACAGTGCGTTAAAAACACATTCAGGAAGCAATTTGAGAGAGAGCCTGCTCCATGACTTTGGGAGAAGGCTCTATTCAGCCTAGAGCAGGCTCCAAGGACCTTGGAGCTGGATCTACATGTGTGGGAGCCAGCTCCCACTTTTATGGTGCCGGCTCTCACCTCTTCTAAAAGTTTCCGGCCTCCTTCTGCTCTGTTTCAGCCCATCTGCTCCATCTCCGGCCGCTCCAACCTTACTGTTCTTCCTCTAAATTGAATTACAGATCTTAAATTACATCTAGTATTAATTCAAACCTTGGTTTGATGCAGTAAGATTCAAAACAAAATTAAAACAATGGCCCGTTTTATGCCAAAACAGAGATGACACGAAACCATACATGACAGAATGATTTCAGATAAATTTCACCAATAACAGATAATCAAGTATAACATATAATGATCATGAATAGTTCAATTAATGTCCAATTAATCTCCTAGAGACTATCTAGATGCATAGAACACAATCCAACGGGAAGGAGGAAGAAAATAACTTGCCTGTGATTTTAGTTATGAAATCTCGGCGTCGTGTCCACTGTTCCGGCAACACTGAACCACTGTCAAGCTTCCTCTAGTTCTTGATAGTCCACCACCACACCCCTTTGGTCTTCTCTATTCTTCTCCTTGACAGACCTTACAGTGCTCTGTTCTTAACCCTCTGTTTTTACAGAACTCAGTTTACGTCTATGAGCTAAGTGTTATGATCGTAAACCCTAGACTTAAAGTATAATGGTGTATTTATATATAAGCTTAACCCTAAAACCCTAATCCTTGTAATATTAGAGACAGACCCCTCGTTATAAACTTTGTCGGCTTCCACCTACGGGACTTCTAACAGAATCCCTAAAGAATTTATTAACGTAATTTAAATACTCATTTAACCTAATTACATAATTAAACCTTTATACTAATTACTTAAGGACACACAAATAATAAAAACAATTAAGATAATTTAATTAAATCAAGTAATGCAAGTAAAACAAATAATGCAATTAAATCAAATATCAAATCAAATAATCCAAACTTTAAATCAAATAATACAAGTAAAGCAAATAATGCAATTAAATCAAATATTAAATCAAATAATCCAAACAAGTTAATTCACCAAGCAACAAAACAATTAAATACTTAAAAATGCAAACAAAATAATTAATTAACATACCAGGACTATCCTTTTAAAATTAGGGATATTACAAGGTTCATCCAAAATGTCAATAAGCACTATCCGGACCAGATCCTCGTCTGAGGAGGATGTCGTTATAGCTAGTTTATTAGCTTTGAAGTTCTCCATTTTTGGTATTTGGTGAAATTCAATCTGATCGAATCCACGCGTAACACTCTCTACGGCCTCCTTATATGCTCTCATTATTTCTTCTTTGGGCTGATACTTTCCTGTCACCTGATTTATAATGAGTTGTGAGTCACTAAAAACTTTTAGACATTTTACTTAGAGCTGGTTTGCCAACCGAAGTCCAGCTATCAAGGCCTCATACTTGACTTCATTGCTAGTGGCAGGAAAATTTAAGCGGATTGACTGCTGCAGCTTGGTTCCTTCTGGGGTTGTTATAATGATTTCGGCTCTTGTACTAGTTAGGTTTGAGGAACCATCTACCTAAAGCTCCCATTGTGGTTCAGGAAGCTCTGGCCCTTCAGGCTTATCTTCATACTCTATGAGGAAATCAGCTAATGCATGTTCTTTGTGTGATACCTTTGGTTCATAAGCTATATCAAAAGAACTAAGTTCGATTACCCATTTGGTGATTCTTCCTGACAGGTCTGGCTTGGAAAGAATAGCTCGCATAGGATAATTGGTGAGGACCACAATGCGATAAGACTCGAAATAGTGCCGAAGCTTTCTCTTCGCATACACTAAAGCTAATATGATCATCTCTGCTTTGCTGTCCCGTGTTTCTGCATCTGTCATCATCTTACTTGTGTAAAAGACTGGGTATTGATTCTTTCCTTCCTCTCGAATTAGTACGGCACTTGTGGCTATGCCGGATATTACTAAATTCCTGATAAGGGTTTCACCAGGCTTTGGAGCAAACAAAATTGAGGGTTTAGTCATGTAATACTTTAATTGAGTAAGAGCTTCTTACTTCTGAGGTTCCCATACATCTTTGTTTTTTAACCTTATAACATTAAAGCATGGTTTGCACTTATTGGATAATCGGGATATGAAGCGGCTGAGAGCTGCGATTCGACTGGTTAGAATCTGTACTTCTTTACGAGGGTTTAGCTCATAATTCTGTATCAGGGCCTGAGCTTGAGCCGGGCTTACCTTTATTCCTCTCTTGTTGACAATATGGTTGAGCAATTGTCCCGAAAAGACTGCAAAGGAACACTTAAAAGGGTTTAACCTTATATTATACTTTCTCAAAGTGTCAAGGACTTCTTAAAGGTGCTTGGGATGATCGTTCTTCTTCACACTTTTAACTACTATGTCGTCAATATAATTTTTGACTGTTTTTCCCAACATTTCATTAAAGATCTTATTAACAAGATGCTCGTAAGTAGCCCCAGCGTTTTTAAGTCCGAAGGGCATGACTTTGTAACAGTAAGTTCCATTCTCTGTGATGAAGGATGTTTTTTCTTTATCCTCTGGATTCATGGGAATCTGGTTGTACTCGGAATATGCATCGAGGAATGTAAGTCTCTCATAACCTGTGGTAGCATTAACCATCTGATCTATCTTTGGTAGTGAAAAACTATCCTTGGGATAAGCCTTATTGAGATTGGTAAAATCTATACAAACTCTCCACTTTTCATTCTTTTTTTGAACCACCATGACGTTAGAGAGCCACTGTGGGTAGTGTACTTCACGGATGAAGCCTGCTTAAAGTATCTTGTCTACTTCTTCAGCAATGATTCGATTTCTTTCAGGAGCGAACCTTCTATCTTTATTTGACTGGCCTGAATGAAGGATCCACCCTTAGATTATGGTATGAGATTGAAGGGTTGATTCCTGGTATGTTCGAATTGATCCAGGCAAATGTATCTACATTCCTTCGGATGACATCAACTAACACTTTTTTCTTTTCGGCTGTAGGGGAAGAGCCTATATACGTGACTTTCTGTGGACTAACGAGGATAACTTCCACAGTTTCGAGAGATTCCTTGGTGGGCTTTGTAGCCTCAACTTTTGCCTCTGCTTCCAAATACTTGGGCAGAGGATTCTATAATTGCTATTTAGCAATATCTTTAAGGGTCGTATCTGGTTTAGATGGCTTAATCCGCTTATTTGCCTCATTAAATGTCAGCATGTAGCATTCTTTGGCTGCAACTTGATCTCCCCAAAGGCTAATAACCTCCTTTTCGTCTAGAGATAAACATCGCATTACTTGATAAAGGGTAGATGAGACTCCATTCATTCGGTGGATCCAACCTCTTCCCATAATGAGATTGTAGGAAGGATGAATTTCTATCAGAATAAAATTTTCTTTTAGTGTCCTCTTCATCGCAGTGACTGATAAATTGATTACCCCAATAAGGTCCACCTTTGTTCCATCGAACCCCATCAAAGGACTAGAAGTGGCTCAAATTGATGATGATGGGATTTCCAACTGCTCAAAGACTGCCTTTGTTATAATATTGGCGCTGCTGCTCGGGTCTACCAAGACTCTTTTAACCATACAATTTGCTACCAAAAGACTGATGCCAAGTGGATCATCATGGGGAAGCTGCACTCTTGATAAATCTCCATCTCTGAACCCGATACTAATATTGCCAGAAGCGATAGTGTTGACTGCGGATAACTTCTTTAGCTTATGGATTGCCCTCAATCTGGAGTGGTACACCTTCTTTGATTCTTGGTCTTCCTCTGACTTTCCATGTATTACATGAATGACCTTTACTTGATTTCCCTCTACTGTCCGAGGATTAACTTCTCTCAGCCTTGGCTGCTCCTTTAGTGCGATATAATCTGCTAAGTCTCCTCTGGCTATCATATTTTTCACCTGTCGCCTGAGGGACCTGCAATCATTGGTTATATGCCCATAATCTATATAGTAGGCGTAATATTTATTCTTGTCCCTCTGTTCTAGGGGTTGTCGCATTGGTTGAGGAGCAATGAATCTAAATTTGTTCTCTTGTAATAGTCGGGCCAATATGGTACGTAGGGGTGTTAACCTCTCCTCAGTCCTCTGCATTTTCTTAGGTATTTGGACTACTGGTGTTGGGGCATATTAGCTTCTTTGACTTTTTGAACTCAAAGCTTCTCGCGAAACTTATTTTCTACTGTGACGAGGGTGGCATGCTGAGCTCGGTGGGCTACATTCTCTTCAAGTTGAATGTAAATTTGCGCCCTAGCATTGAGAGTCTGCATGTTTGGAGGGGAGTATTTGACTAAAGAGGTATGTAACTTGGTCCCCTGGATCATACCGATCTCGAATGTTTCTATTACAGTCTCAGGGGGACAATCTGCTATCTTCGAAGCCTCCATGTTGAACCTGGAGAGAAAATCTTGTAACGTTTCTCCTCTCTTCTGTCTTATAGTGAAAAGACTAGCAATAGTCTTCTTCTGCTTCTTATTCCCACAGTATTATGCCAGGAACATGGCACACAGAGTTTCATAGTTCGGGATGGACTTGTGTAGCCTATTCTTGAACCATTCCAATGCGACTCTCGTTAGACTAGTTGGAAAAACTTTACACATGAATGCATCGTTGTGATTGTCTAGAGCCATCTTCTGTGAATAGTGATCGAGGTAGCAGGAAGGATCTCCTATACCATAGAACTGAGTGAAGGACGGCATAGTGAATTTCTTTGGTCTGTCGACATGGTATATATGATTAGTGAATGGAGTCTTCACGAGAGAAGCCTTATACTCCCTGGCCATCTCAGTGGGTGTCTGAATCCTCAAGAGCCTCTTTTTGTTAAAAGCCTCCTAAACACCATTTTGAACGCCATTTGTCCATACTATAAGTTTGCGGTTGGATTCGGCCTATTCGTCTTGTGCACAATGAGGATGATTGTCCGAAGCAACTACCACGATTCTCATCCTCTGCTCTTGCTGAACCTCATTGGGCCGAACCTCATTGGCTTAAGGTTCATTAACAGGTAGATTTTTATGATTGAGGGGAGCTCCCGCTACATCGCATGGTGGTGGTTGTGGTGTTAACTACGCCATAGCTATTTGGAGATCATCGTTTCTCTACTGAAGCAACGTGATCTGAGTCGTGCTAGCCTCGTTTGCTTGGCGAAGAGTTTTGAATTATTGCAAGAACTCTTCTTACATCTTTTGCATTAGCTCCATCTGTTGATCAGCTGCTGCTGTGGCTACTCTGATTGACATTCCGGACCGTAGTAGTATAAAAGATTTAAATCACTCGTGGAAGTATATTTCTATATGGTTCCCATAGACGGCGCCAAAGTATAAGTGCAAAAATTCACTTAACTAAAGAAGTCAAAAGAATAAATACAACTCACTTAAAATAAAATAACAATTAACAAGAATAATTGAGAGAAAAACGTGTATTGCTTTATCCTCTTTATTGGAGGACTAAACCTCTATTTATATATATAAAGACATTGGAATTATAGTAGGATTCGCTCTGCTTATCCTCTAATTCATTCCATGTATAATTCTTTACCTACAAAGTTATTTCCTTTTACAATTCTTTCCATGCCAGACTTTTCTTTTGTAGAACTTCCTTTTATAAAGGATCCTTTGAAAAGTAGGACTTGGTCAATCTGTACTAAAATTGGGCTAAATACAACTTGGGCCGGATGAGCTTGCTAACGGGCTGAGAGTTCAACATTTAGCAACCTTGGGCTGATAGTGACTTAACTTGGGCTTGATAGGCTTCTACAATCCATCGAAGGATCAAAATGTAATTCTTTATTATGGTGACGTGGACGACTTTTACTGGAGGGGATTTTTCCCTCCACAGCTATGAAAAATTAAGGCCTCTCGAAAGCTTCTATTTTTCCTTTGGCAATCAGTTCATGAGCGCCTTCCAGTCTAACAACTTTTTTATAATATAAGAATCACTTCCCATGATTCTTGTATTCTCTGTGGCTCGGTTGAAGATTCTGTGGACCATCTTCTCTGCCTTTGCCCTACCTCTCAATCGGTTTGGAAATTAAGCCCTTCCTACCTTGATTTTTCATCCTCCTCGCCCAAGAGCTAGCAACACCAATGGATAAACCTTGTTCATGATTGGAAGCTTAATAATTGTTTTCAAGAAAATGCTAGACTCGCTACTTTTTTATGTTAGAATATTTAGAAGAGCCGTAATGCATTTGTCTTTTCAAACACGCCTTTTGAATTTTGATCCTCTTTTTGCAGCAAACAAAGCTCCCAATGAATTCCTTATTTACAATAATCTTTATTTACTCCACTAGCTAAATCTAGTTTCGTCAGTAAATCAAAGAATCACACCTATCGCCGAAGATTAAAGCAACCAACTCCATGCTTGGTTCTTTTGGTAATCCCACAGCTATTGGCTACCCCTATTCAAGTACGGCCTTTGGCTTCAGACTGCGTCAAGGATCGGTCAAGATCACAAACTCAACCTCTTATCTGGGTTCCAACGCTTCATCTAGTCACCTCACTTGGCAAAAAGGAACCTTCCACCTTCGATGTCGAATTGGGCTCCTCCACGCATAGGCACTTTCAAGCTTAATTTTGACGGTTCTTTTCACGATTCTACTTATCTCGCGGGAGGCGGCCTTATCTTTAGGAACCATGAGGAACCCTTATCCAATCTTTGACTCTTATCTTTCATCATGTCACCTCTGTAACTATGGAAAAAGCTCTCATCCTTCATGCAGTTATCAATTCTTGTCTTTCTTGGACTTTTCCAACGTCACTATTGAAGGGGACTGCCAATCCATTATTAACCTTCACATCACTGAAGAATCAATTTCCACAATCATTTGGATATACTTCATTTGCTTTAGATAGATGATGATCAGATAATGATCTATCCCTTAGCTTACCGGCTTTGCTCTCTGCTGTAACTCCCCTGCCTTCTTCAGCCTTCTTTCCTCCTCGTGTAAGAGAGCCTTTTTTTTTGTTGACTTTGCTTTTTGGTGTAGTTTTGCTCACCTTGTTTGTGCCAAAAATAAATAAAGGGCTAAAATCTAAAAACCCCTCTCTTGTTTATCAAAACTATCTACTAACCCCCTCGAGTATTAAAAACCCCCTGATATAACAGAAATTATCAAATTGCCCCCAGTCCGTCACAGAACCGTTAAGTTACTGTGAAATGACAAGAATACCCTTAATATTATTTTAAAATGAAAATGTGAATTTTGAATTGGCAAATATGCCCCCGTATGAAATGATATAGTATTGTGTTGTTTTTGCCTCTTTGTGAAATGACGTCGTGTGGGGGTTGGGTTGTATGCCCTAAATCAATTTTTATGCCTCCATCTATGTTCTGTGTTTGTGTGTGCGCCGAGTGTTGAAGAAAGCAAGTGTGAAGTCTTGATGCAAGCGACTGTCGCTTAATGGTCAAAGATCTTGATGGATTCCAACTGGTTCGTATCACTTTTGTTGGACACAATGGTGTTAGGTATGGACAAACTTTTACCCATTGTCGTTGCTTTGTAGTTAGGGTTTTATATTATATCCTTTTTCAATGTGGGTCCGTAATGTTTGGTATGTATAATTCGATGTTTGGTGGACAAACTTTTACCAATATCGTTGCTTTGTAATAAAAATTAGGGTTTGTTTATAAGGCTGTGGTCCCAGTGGTAATAAATTAGGGTTTGTTTATTGTTTAAACAATTTTTTCATAATTTAGGGTTTAGGGAATTATTATTGAAATTAGTAGTAAATACTAATTTTTTTTGGTTTGTAGTACTTAGGGTTTTATAATATTTCCTTTTCAATGTGGGTTCTTATTGTTGGGTGGGGTATTGATATTAGGGTTTAATGACTTTGTAATAAAAATTAGGGTTTCGATGTGGTCCCAGTGATCATTAAATTAAGTAATATAGGGTGGTGGTCCCAGTGATCTTTGACAATACTTGTTTAAGATTACTGCAACTATGTCAGAATTGTTTTTTTAGTTATCTTATGTTTGGTATTGTTTTGTTGAAATTTATTGTTTTCAGTTTTAATCTTGCTTTTCAAAAGTTATACACACTGGAAATGCATTATGGTGGTCAGTTTGGTAGTACAGAATTAAGTTGATATTTTGGTGGGTCTGTTGTGATATGAGGGTATAGACAGTGGTCTCATGTCAATGATAGCACTTACATACATGATAGGTCTCCTTGGTTGTCCTACTACAAGTAAAGTATTCTACAGGTCTTACATTGATGGGAGTTTATGTAATACCCCTAATTTTAAAGCACAGTTCTAGATTTGTTTTAATTATTTATGTGCATTTGTAATATATTTATTTACTTATTTTAATTAATTAATTAATTATTTGCTTATTTGATTTACTTTATTTTAATTCAATTAAATTGTGTTTTGTATATTTGGTTTGTTACATTAATTTAAATGTATTTCTCAAAGTATAATTAATTACGTGCATAGGTTTTCACTGTTTTGGTAATTAGGGTTTTATGTTTTTACATCGTGTCTAGGATCGGAGCCGACATATAGTTGGTTTAGGATTTAATCTAGGGTTTCATGTAAAACCTATAAATATAAGCATACGTCTGCCAAGGGTTTGTTAATTCACGTAACAAAGTCATATAGAGAGTTGTGAGGGCAGAGAAACAGAGAGGGAGCTTGAGTAATTTACAGAGAGAACCCTAGGAGATTAAGGGAGGGATTCAAGGAGGAGTTCTGGATTTAACTAGGAGCGGCAGAGGTTGATAACAACAAGTTGACGTTGCCGGAGTTTATAGAGATGACAGTTAGAGTTTTTAATTCAAACTCTCAAAGGCAAATCTCTGATTCTTCTCGTTCCCGTTAATTCGTATTCTGTGCATGCCTAGTTAGACTCCAGGGATTTAATAAAGACTAAAATAGATTTAAATCAACATTATAACAAGTCTTTTATGCATATATGAATTTTATTTGATCTCGCGGAATTAACTGGTTTGCATGAATCTATGATATTCTGTTATTTGTTCCTCTTGTTGTTCACGTTTAAGTTCTGTTTAATGGTGGTTAGTAATGCGAATGGATGCCTTGTAATTGATCTGGGTCTAAGATTAAATCCTAGAACAGGTATTTGAAACA